ATCATTTTTATACATATAAGGGCAAAAAAGTCAATTATACAGAAAAAGCTATTTTACAGCTTAATTACCAAACACTATTCTGCAACTTAAATCTATAATCCCATAGCTACACCAAACAGGTTACCAGCTTATGCTCACAGCTGTAAGCTATAATTTGTTAAGTTATAATCTATAATCACTTTTCCACAACTCTACCAAACGGGGCCAATATTAACAAGTGCCATAGTATTTGGCTTAAAGCATATAGGCGCTAGATAGATCAGTTTGAATTTTGAAACTCCAAATGAAGTGATGTAGCATAGTAGCTACTAATTGCATAAGATTCCATTCCAATTAAAGATTTAAGTCAAGGTTTTGGACAAAAGTAAACACCCAAAATTTGAGGTTTTTTTTTTTTGTTTACCAAACTCTTGAGACAAGTTTGTCAATATAAGTTATTTTGAACTTATTTTTCAATTATGAATTGGTTTTTTAAAGTTAACTGTTGAAAACATGACTTCAAGCTTGAAGTTGGTGAAGTCATAAACACGACTTCATTGCCTGTAAAGACAAGAGAAAAAAAAAAAAAACTTGGTGTTGTGTTTTGAAAATACTATTTCAAATTTTTTTACAATAAGATAATTGAAGATACTTCAAAAATTTTAAAAGTAAGTTTAATATAACTCCTAATGGGGAATTTTGTTCAGAAATGATATGGGTATGGTAGATAACTCCCAAAAATTTGTTTACATGAAGCTGGTTTGAGAAGTGATGATGAAAGGTGAGTTTCAATATGAAGGCAAGATGGGAATTGTTTATGCAATGATAAGTATGATTACGGTACTGTTTTTGCAATTGATTCAATCATAGCCTTGTCCATTATGTTAATGCTTCATTTGGTTGTCATAAACCAAAGATCCAAAATCAATCATTTTTTTTCCTGGTGAAATAGAAGTCTGATTATATTTTTCCCCTCCATTGGATTCAGAGCAAGAAACATAGAGTAACAACTCCGATATAATAATTTAGTTTTGGTGTTATAGCAGGGGTGCTTCTTAGGAAGTAATTTGTGCCTCGATGTTGCTTTATTATGATGGTTGGATTCTCTGCTATGCCTTCTCTGCACTTAATACATCTCAACAAAGTATATAATTTAATGATTTAAAATTAAAATGGCAAAAATATTGCATAACTACCGAATTCAATGGTTTAAATTTAAAATGAAAATAAAAATGACAAATTTGTATAACTACCTACCCTAAAACAACGTGGCTTTGCTTTAACTTTAACTAATTGCCATTATTATTTCAAAGACATTTTGGATTCGAAATTATGATATTGTATGTTAATACATGTTGGGATTGGGGATCCTGCCTAAGACCTTCCAGAAATTATACCAAGCAGAAAAACACACCTACAGAGAATGAGACACCATATTTAACGTGGTTCGGCCTTAAAGCCTACGTCCACGGGAGAGTAACCGGTTATCACTATAACAATGGAGAGATTCCAGAAAGACTACAATAAAGGAGGAGCTCACACTCTCCTCACTCACCCACTCACCTGTCTCCCTCGCTCACACCGAGAGAGACGGTCTCTCCGCCTCACATCTCTCACTCTCTTCTCTCTTGGTTCTCTCTCATTGTCTACTCTCCCCTCAACCTCTATTTATACATATCATGAGGGAAGGTAGCTGGACAGCAATGGTGAGTGGATTGGTTAGTGGGGAGGTGCCAACCCCACTCTCTCTAAAGTGGTCTCCAACCACCCCGCTCTCTCTAAGGTGGGTTAGCCACTCATATGGGAGGATAATAACATAGCCAACAAATCACCCCCTCAACCCATGTGAGGTGATCTACTGCACACACTACTGCTAATCTTGTCACGCCCAAATTTCAACAGAATCTTCATCTCCTCACTGAGATGCCACATCCCCTGAAGCTAGAGATAATACACCAGAGATACAAGAGGAGGAGGGAATCCTACATCCTCAACTCAACTCACACCACTATCTGATTTGGAGAGAGCCTTTGCTCCTATCTCCCACAGATCTCTTCCACGCTTCCTGTCTTGGATGTCTTCACTTGCTATGCTTGAACTTGCGCAACCAAGATATCCGACACCCCCTGATTGGATGTCTTGCACCCCCTGCTGGGACGCCCTTGACTGTCATGCATTACCTCGCAGGACCAGTCATTGGAGCAATAGAAAACTCGTTGTTTATGCCATCAACGTCCTCTGTCTTCTTTGCTCGGAGTTTTTCCTCTAAACTATCAGCCTTTGCCCTCTGCACTTCTGAACAACCTCCTAGCGTTTCCACATATGCTCGTTGTCTGTGCTTTTGTAATCCCTGATTTGTTGTCCAGTAGATTGATGGTTGATAGTAGCTCCATCTGTCAAAGCATCGTCAACTATGCAATTCCTGATTTGCTGTCCAGTAGATTGATGGTTGATAGTAGCTCCATCTGTCAAAGCATCGCCAGCTATGCAATTCCTTGCATAGTGCTCGCACCCATGGCTTCTGGTCTCCTTGCGTCGAGCTCGCTTGAGAGATCCGCATAAACTCTATCCTCCACTGCCATGGAACTAAAGAAACCACCATAGAGAAAAAAGACTTACCACTCCTTGGCGCGCACTCTTGTGTTTTACCCGTCTCAATTTCTCTGTTTGGAAGTTCCTGTGAACTGTCAATAACCCGTTGCTACACACTCTTCTCGCGCCTCTCTATGACACTGTACCCTTGCACTGCTGTACGTTTGCATTTGTGCTTCTGCGCTTAGTATGCTCCTCTGCAACTATTGTTCTACATGTCCACATACCATCAGTACCTACTCATATACAATAGCTCCAATAGCCACAACATTTCCTTGAGCCTGTACTTGTTGCCAAATCATCTATCCGTCGATGAATGGACTTTTTGATTGAACCAGATCTTCCGTTCTGATCAACTCCGGAGATAATCATCTCTGCAATCCTCTAATCACCCCCTGACCAATCCTGATCTCTCTCGATTTGCCATTTGATCAAGCCCGATCTCCTTTGGTCTTCAATGATCTATCTCGATCTGTATTTGGTTGTCCAATCTGGTCAGAATCTGCCCATTCTAACCTCTTTAGTGAATCCGCAGCGTTCCACAATATCCGACAACCTTCCTTCAACTATTGAAGATGACAAACTCCCATGTTTTGACAATCTTTAAAAATCGTTCAGAATTTCACTATTCTGACCTCGCGGTTGTGTTCGGAACGGTCCGTTTAGCTATGACCAACCTTCGTTGCACTTCCGAGGATCTCACTGAAAAACATCCCTGAAAGTTGGGCCACACCATAATTTTCTAAAAATTTTGGGCCAAATTGCAATTTTCAAAAGTTCAGGGAATATTTCGTGTTCTAACAGAATATTCCGTCCACTGTACCTGACATCGTCTGCCACTTTAATCTTCTTTCTTTTATAGAAACTCCAATTCCAAAATTTGACCGTATAGATGTGTCCGGAATACTTCAAATAGTTGGAAAGCACTATTGGATCGCCAAAAATAGACTCTGAATGGCTTAGATCAAGCCAAAACATTTTGTACGCCTTAGATCTGCGGCTACACCTTAGCCGCGAAGCATTGGATCCTTTCTCTTGCGGCTGCACCTCAGCCGCGCACCACTTGATCGCTCCTCCGTATGCTGACGTGGCAGATGACGTGGCGCTGACTGGTTTGCCGCGTGGTGCTGACTGGTTTGATGGCGTGGTAGCCATGTGGCACTCATTTGCTAACGTGGTGCCACGCGTCGATGACGTGGCGCCGCGTGGCGTGCGCATGGCGTACACGAGCTTCCCCTACTCACCTTCTTCCTTCCGCCGCGCGTAGGACGCGTGCACGGGACTGGGCCGACGTGCCGACTGACTGTACGGCGCGTGAGGAAGCGCATGAGGGTGCGTCTAGCCTCTTCTGGGGCTCTACTTTGCATGTTTGGACTTCTCTCGTCGAGACCTTGCTCCTGGTATGCTCGAAACCTAATTTCGAGCAACTTGATTTATGGGTAGTTTCGAACAACACACTGTTTTTGTTCCGAACGCCACCGACAAGGCTCTGATACCACTTGTTGGGATCGGGGATCCCACCCAAGACCTTCCAGAAATTATACCAAGCAGAAAAACACACCCACACAGAAGGAGACACCATATTTAACGTGGTTCGGCCTTAAAGCCTACGTCCACGAAGAGTAACCGGCTATCGCTATAACAATGGAGAGATTACAGAAAGATTACAATAGAGGAGGAGCTCACACTCTCCTTATTTACCCACTCACCCGTCTCCATCTCTCACACCGAGAGAGACGGTCTCTCCGCCTCACATCTCTCTCTCTTCTCTCTTGGTTCTCTCTCATTGTCTACTCCCCCCTCAACCTCTATTTATACATATCATGAGGGAAGGTAGCTGGACAACAATGGTGAGTGGATTGGTTAGTGGGGAGGTGCCATCCCCACTCTCTCTAAAGTGGTCTCCAACCACCCCAGTCTCTCTAAGGTGGGTTAGCCACTCACATGGGATGATAATAACATATCCAACAATATACTCAACTCAAAATTAATTGACAATGAGTGGAGGAGCCTCTCAAGTATGTTAACCAAGTTTCGGTGACTTAGAGTGTAGATTTGAGAAAAATCTAAACAATGTAATAGAGAGGGAGTGGGACATAGGATCCAGATTCCTTTGCTCCTTAGCTCAATGTTAGAATTTACCTACACCTACCACCACCTACTACCACACCTACCACATCTACTACACCTACCACCAATTTACCCTCACCTACTCCTCACCTACTACCCAAACCCTCTCCTATATAATGAGCTACTCTGATTTGTAATATAACATATCAATCAATAATCAATCAATAATATACATCAATATATTTTACATGGTATCAGAGCAGGTTTAGAACCTAGTATTCGCGCTTCACCGGCGGGTGGCAACCTCACCTTAGCCGCCCGCCGGACCTCAACCTATTCCGCTGTCATCTCTATCAATACATATAGCTTCCAGTTCGCCACCACCAGACCCAGAGAAGAAACGAAACCCTAGAGGAAGGCAAACCAGGAAATCAAGCATGGTGTGTATACGCAAGGCTACCGTTGACGACCTCCTAGCAATGCAAGCCGGCAACCTGTTTTGCCTGCCGGAAAACTACCAGATGAAGTACTACCTGTACCACATCCTGTCGTGGCCACAGCTCCTCTACGTAGCGGAGGACTACGACGGCAAGATCGTTGGCTACGTGCTGGCCAAGATGGAGGAGGAGAGCTCGGAGTGCCACGGCCACATCACCTCCCTCGCTGTGCTCCGTACCCACCGCAAACTGGTTCTCGCCACCAAGCTCATGACGGCGGCTCAGAACGCCATGGAACAGTTGTATGGCGCCGAGTATGTGTCCTTGCATGTGAGGAAGTATCTTTACTTCGGTCTCGGTTTGGTCTTTTGTGCTAAAATGGCAAATCACATGGGCTCTTTCTCTCTCCTCCTTTGTTGTGTGAGATTAATGATGGATAGGATAGCAGAGATGCTCCACTACGATGTCTTTTTTAAAATCATAATCATCTCTTCCATCAAAACACTATCTTTCACATATCCACCATACTCCCTTTTTTTATTTTGACCCCATAAACTGTTTTTCTACAACGGTCCGACATGACCCCATAAACTGTTTTTCTACAACGGTCCGACATGACCCCATAAACTGTTTTTCTACAACGGTCCGACATGACCCCATAAACTGTTTTTCTACAACGGTCCGACATGACCCCATAAACTGTTTTTCTACAACGGTCCGACATGACCCCATAAACTGTTTTTCTACAACGGTCCGACATGACCCCATAAACTGTTTTTCTACAACGGTCCGACATGACCCCATAAACTGTTTTTCTACAACGGTCCGACATGACCCCATAAACTGTCTTCTACATCGGTCTGACACCGCCATCCAGTGTCCTCTACACCGTTATGACACCCCCATACAGTGTCCTCTACAACGTTATGACACCACCATTCAGTGTCTTCACCAATGGTCTGACACGACCATACAGTGTCTCCTATCCTTTTTTTATTTTTATGTATTTTCTTGTTTTGTTCCTCTCTTCAAACTCAAGTTGGTTAGTTTCTATCCTCCTTGAGTTTGCGGGGGGCTGTTAGAATTTACCTACACCTACCACCACCTACTACCACACCTACCACATCTACTACACCTACCACCAATTTACCCTCACCTACTCCTCACCTACTACCCAAACCCTCTCCTATATAATGAGCTACTCTGATTTGTAATATAACATATCAATCAATAATCAATCAATAATATACATCAATATATTTTACACTCAAGTACTCTCTTCTATCAGAAAACTATTACTTCATCTTGTTTGGACCATGCTATTATCACTTTCTGCAGGAAAGGGACTGCTTACTTCACTTATGGTAGCAGTAACTTTCATTCACACCTTTGGTTAGGCCATCCAGTTGGTTCTGTTAAATATAGCACTATGCCCACCCTTATCTATTGTTTACTTGTTGAAATTTTACACTAGCAGCATGATTTTAAATAGCTGTATTGAAATACATATTGGTACTGTTTGATTATGATCCAAAAGCTCTTTGATTATATCTTATGTGGTATTTGGTTATTACTCTTTATATATATATATATATATTATTATTTAAGACTCCCATAGAATTAATTTATAACATTTGTAGTGATCAACGTTACAAATATCATTACTTTCAAATGGTACACACCAACATTATCCTATATATATTAGCATTTTAAGGCTAGGACTAACTACCTCAGGAAATGGAATCTTAAGGTTTCTTCCTAATTCCTAGATAATCCAATAATTGGAAACACTATTCTCTCCAACCATCCTCGTGGCTCAACATAAAAGACCAAACATGAACATTGAACAACATGAAGTGGAAACAAAAACAAGAGCAAGAGTACAGAGTGGAATCAACAAGGTAGCACGTAATCAATTCCATTAGTTGCTTGCTTGTGTTATAAATAAAAATAAATAAAAAGGAATCCCTGTGTTGGTTACACTGCACTTGTTAAAGGATGGAGCAATCGGGTAGTAATGGGAATTCTCTGTCGTATCAGCCCAACAAACTTGATTTCGATACTCACTTTTCTGATGAAATATCCGGTGAGTTTTTTTTGCCTTTCTAAATTATTCACATGATATAAAGTGTGAAATTTATCATACCTAAGATATATATAACAAAGTCTGAAATTATATGAAGACATGTTGTGTTTGGTTTCTTAACCAAAATTTCTTTTGCAGAAGAGGTGAACGATTCTTCAATAGAGCAAGTCCGCCTCACGGTGCCAATAACAGATGATCCAACATTGCCTTGCTTGACATTCCGGACATGGGTTTTGGGTACTTTTTCATGTGCTATCCTGGCATTCTTGAAACAATTCTTTGGTTATCGCCAAAACGCGCTTTATATTTCCTCTATTTCAGCCCAAATTGCTGTTCTTCCCATTGCCAAGTTTATGGCAGCATATCTGCCAACCAAGTCTATCCAAATCTCGGGAACAAAATTGTCACGACCCAAACCCGCCCCTATGGGTTTAGCACCGTAACCGGCCAGTAATCCAAGATTACCGAAGGCCTGCTTAACAGTAATACAGTAAAACAGAGTACAGGGGCCTGGTGGAAGCTAAAACAGTAAATAAACAATGTCCAACGAGCTGTGACAATCTGTATGCAAAAAGACTTTCATTCAAATATATATACAGTCGGACAAAACAGTATGTACAAATATACCATCATTCAGTTCAGGGACCTAATCCCTATTAAACAGTACAGTACAGTAAACAAAAAAGTTATAGAGACAGAAGGGGGAACTAAAACACCCTTAAGCCATAACTTGACAGGCTTGGAACCTCACAGTGAGGCACAGTGGTTGGCTTGACAAAACTGGAGCTTACCCCGACGCTTCTAACCACGGCCTGGTGCCTGTACACCTACATATATATATGAGCAGTGAGCTAAAGTCCAGTGAATAACACAATGCATAAAGGGGTTAAGAATGAATGTCTTTACAGTAATGAAAACAGTTCATTAAATCAGTATTTCAGTCGTTCAGTCAGTACAGTCATATGTGGTACATCCAATAGAATAACAGTACAGTAAACAGTAGGTCTTAAAAGATCGAACAGTAAATGATGGCCATTAATCAGTAAACAGTAGTGGTTCCAACGAGGGAACCGACAGAGATCTCTGTAACAATAATAGTAGACAGTGGTTGCTAAGGATGCCACAATACAGTTCAGAATATAGGACATACATTCATTCAATTAACAGTATCAGTTCAGAAAGCAGTATAGTTCAATTGTTCAGAAGATAATCATTTTGAACATATCTTTACACAGTTGTTACTCACAGAGTTCTGGGCTACAATAAAGCTAGAGCGTGTCCCCAGTCGCCAACCCTACACAGTTACAGATTGAACACACACTAAGCTACACAGTTGGAAAAATAATAACTTAATCCTTAATTTGCCTCGGTGTGTTCTACATTTATATCCTCGTTAAGATGCCTTAAACTAGGCCTAATAATGCCTAGGATGGGATGAGGATGCAAAGATGCACTTTAAAAGCATTTTTAGAATTTTCAGAAAACAGGGGTCACGCTAGAGCGTAGATTACTCCGCTCGAGCGGACATGCGGACAAAGCTTTCTGCTCGAGCGTAGACTTACCCGCTCGAGCGTTCTGCAAAACAGTCAAAAGTGCTAGATAGGTGAAAATCACGCTCGATTGGGCACTCGACACCCGCTCGAGCATGAGACACAGTGTCCCGCTTGAGCGTCAATTATTCCGCTCGAGCGGACATCAAAACAGGGCAAAGTACTGGGAGCACGAATTTCACGCTCGAGCGCCAGTCACCCCGCTCGAGTGTGAGTTCAAAATCTAGAATTCCCAAATTTGAACCTCAAGCTCAAATTTAACTTTTAAACCATAAATTTCGATCCTCTTGGGCCAATTTTTCAGAAAACATCCCAAAACTCATAGTTTAACATGATTCCAAAGCTCAATTTGTAAAATCAAGGCCCAAGGTAGTTCAAATAAATCCAATTTCAAACAACATTTCATGAACAAGATGAACATGGAACATGCATGAATTTAAACACTTCAAAGCTTCAAATGCTAGCTCAATTGAGCCAATTCTTTCTAAAAACATGATGAATTCATGGACTACTCTTAAAACATGGACATGCATGTGAGGAATTATGAACTACAACATCAAAACTTCAATATATATACATGCATGCAACAATTAAGCTTCAACACAACAATTTGAGCCATAAGTTAGCTCCAGTCTTCAACTTTGGTCTATAAACCATGCAAGAAACAATTTAAACACAAGAATGAGAAGATGAATTTCTACCTTAAGTCTCCAATTCAAAGAAGGGAAACTCAAATATGCAATTTCTTCAAGTCCCCAAACAATTCACAAGATGAAGCCAAATTCTCTCTCAACTCTCTGTCTCTATTTTTCGGTGAGAACTCAAGAAATGGCTGAGGAAAAGTGTTGGTCAAGTGTTGTACTTGTGATTCAATAAGTCCTAGCATTGTCCACTAACATGGCATTACGGTAATTAAGCCAACTATTGCAATCTAGCTCAATTCAATCTAATTTAATCATACCAAATCACTTTTCAGATAAATATACCATAAAATCATATAAATTATGACGATCGTAAAACATCAATCAATTTCAGATTCGGTCGCCGATAAGGCCTTCAATTCGCAATTTAAACACAAAGGCATGAACAGATAATCAAACAGTCAACAGATAGACATATAATTAAACAGATATACTTAATCAATTCAGTTCCAGATTTCAGTCAGTCAGTTCAGTACTTCAATCAATTCGATTACCAAACATAATCAATCTCAGTTTAGCAGTAATCGGCAGTTAATCGGTAAACAGTGACGAGGGTTGTTACAGTCTCCCCTCTTTGAAAAGAGTTTAGTCCTCTAAACTCGAGTTACCTTCGTTTTGGAAGAAAACAGGATTCAGTGAAAACAGTTCAAGATATCTTTTAGCCATGTCATCTTCCTTCTCCTAAGTGGCATATACGCCACTATGGTTTTTCCAGTCAACTTTCACTAATGGGATCTCTTTGTTTCTCAACTTCTTGATCCGTCTGTTTACAATCTGAATAGGCCGTTCCTCGTAAGTGTAGTTGTCACTCAACACTACACGAGTAGGCTCTATCACGTGGAAAGGATCCTAGAGGTAGTCTCTCAACATAGAAATGTGGAAGACGTGATGCATATGCTCCATTTCAGGAGGAAGCGCTACTTGATACGCCACCGGATTGATTTTCTCAATAATTTCATACGGTCCGACGTATCTCGGCGCCAGCTTGCCTTTGACTCCAAAACGAGTCTGGCCTTTCATCGGTGTCACTTTCACAAATACGTGATCACCCACTTCATATTCTCTATCCCGTCTTCTGACATCAACATTACTTTTCTGTCTGCTCTGTGCGGTTTTCAGTCTCTATTGTATCAGTTTCACTTTCTCAGTCATTTCGTATACAATCTCGGGCCCAAGCAAAGGCCCATCTCCAACTTCTGCCCAGCAAAT